ATATATATATATATATAGTAATGGTCCATTCACACCTGAGTGTTTGTTTCATGTACACACATCAAACGTGCAAAAAAAGTGCTTTGTTGTGTAAAAAGAAAATTGGCTTGCTGTGCCATTACCAGTTATTGGCACCCAGGGCCGTCCCTACTATAACCGCTGCTATAGAGCTGGTGTTGGTGTTGGTGTTGATAGTGCTTTGGGGGGACGTTACTCCATCTTTCTGCTTTTCTCACATGTTCATGACATCAATGCGGACATGCAGAAAACAAACGCATGCAGATGTGACGCGTGTTCCCGCTATGCCCAGGTGTGAATGGGCCTAAGTTTCCGGAATATGAAACATCCACGTTCTTTGTTACACCGGTACTTGTGTTACCAGTGCGCACTTGCTGACAGTGTGCTGTGTCCATACAATGCCATGAAAAGAGCAGTTCCAAGTTTGGGAACTTATCCTATACCTGTGTATGTGCAAACTCCGGTACTTACGGCGTATTGTGTCCATATAAACATACTGAAACACCATCACTCACTCACTCGCCCGCCAGACCCGTAACACTACACTAGGCTGCAGGCTAAAACTGAGGACTAGTTCACACCAAGCACGTTCCAGGAGCAGAGCAGTTACAGACCGGATCAAAACTGCGTCCAATGTATTTATTCCAATGGTATTTTGGGCTCTAGTTCACACGGCAGCGTTCAGTTCCAGAGCATGTAAAAAAAAACTGCAGCAAGCCCTATTTTTCCTGCTCTGGAACGCATGCAAATGCACTGAAAGCCCATCTTTTTTACAAAAACGGCCCGGGACACATCAAAAACACGGCAAAACCCACTGCCCTGCATGTGCAGAAACTCATGCAGATCTGGACTGCATTTGGTGTGAACAAGCCCTGAGGACTCACAAAGAGCCACATTGACCAACACAAGGGCTTATGTATACCATGTGTGGGTCAACCCATGTGTCAGTTAAACTAATGTGCCTTCATCATGCATTGGTAATCCGTGTTCTAGTTTGACACACCTAGCCTGCAAAATCATATCTTGGTGTGAGATTTGAGCCAGGCTCAGTCCCATTGTCAGTACTCCAGACTTTACATCCCCATCCCTAATATTCCTCCTGCAGATAACAGTCCCACCGCATTACCTTCTGTACCTAAAAGCACCGACCCTCCACACAGAACCTTGAACTCTATGTCCCCTTTAATTGAGGCGACGCTATTCAGCTGCACACTTGCTGAAGCTAGTCACACATAAATCATATACATTTAGGGCCCCTTTCACATCCGATCAGGTCCGCCTGTCAGTTTTTCAGTGAGACCCGTTCCGGCGCTCTATGGAAGTCTATGGGCAGCCGGGTTTAAACGTTCCGTTTACACCTGGTTAGCTCCGCCTCTGTCCGGTAAAACAGATGGATCATTGATCCGCTTCAACGGAGCGGATTGTGCTGGACCGGAGGTACATCTCCGTTTACATCAGATTCCCCATAGACTTGCATGGTGTCTAGTGATAGGCTCGGCATGTTCGCAGCTCCACGTGCCGAGCCCGCCAGGAAGCTGACAGCGCCGCAGCGCCAATCACAGGTACTGGGACATTTCCCGATTTCTGCAGCTGCAGACCGGGATAATGTCTCCGTACCTGTGATTGGCGCTGTCAGCTTCCTGGCGGGCTCGGCACATGGAGCTGCGAACACGCCCGAGCCCGTCACTAATGGTGTCCAGCACTTTCAATTGATAGAGGAAAAAACTGTACGGACACGGATGTCACAGCGGTGACATCCAATCCGTGCCACTCTGATCAGGAGAGGATCTGTTGACGGACCTTCTCCTGATCAGCCTGTGGGACAGGGGCCTTACTTTCTTTAATTGTGATGGTAGCCAATGTCATCGGTAATAAAAGTGAGGGTAAGTCCAAAATTTTGAGTTGCCACCAGAACGGGACACTTGTTCCTGTGACAATTAAAAACTATTTTCTATTTACTATTAAATCCTATTTTCTCCCAATTTGGAAAGATATCCTTTAATTTCCTATTGAGTCTACAGGACAGGTAGTGAAGCAAAGTCTCCCTAATGAGTAACAGATGGCATAAAACAACCTGACAGCAATTTTAACCCTCTCCATCTCTATCCAAAAAGTTTTTTTGGTTTTAAATCTATTTAAGCTATGTACAAATTGGTCCTTTTTTGCTTTTTATTCTCTATGCTGAGTTGGTTTTATTTGTGAATTCCTCCAACTCCTGTGAAAAGAGGCGTGTAACTAACTGGGTGAGAGATCACCTTGATCAGCAACTATAAATACACAATTGTATCTGTTAGCTGGCACTGGCACGTGGAACAAGCCAGACCGCACATACACTGCTGCCATCTGCTCTGCAGAATATTTTGGATCAGTCTGCCTTTTGCTGTTTTGCAAAGGGAAATCATTAGCAACTATGTATGTTTTTAATAAAACAACGGGCGATGAGTTTTCAGCCTGCTCACACTTTATAAAAAGGTATGCAGTCCAGAGAAGTCATTGATATTGATGAATGCGCCTTTACCATTGCACATTCATTCAAATAGAGCATGCACCATTGCTCTTCTAGAAGGATCAATTTAGGGCTAGTTCACAGCAGCCCCAGTGCGTTCTGGCACAATTCGGTGCCGAAACATACTGGATCGCATTCCAGCCAGTCAATGCGTTCTGGGGCAGGAGCGGCTGGAATGCCACGGTGTGATTGGCTGCACCGGAACATGGGCACATTAATGGCCGGGCGCAATCAGAAAAAATAGCAGCATTTTTTCTGATTTGGACTGGAACGCAGGCATTGATGTGCCACGCGACCGGGTGCGGGTGATTGTACTGCAGCTGGGGTGTGTGGATGCGGTGCCGTTGAATTCAATGCACTGCCCCGCCCTAGAATGCAGTGCGCAAGCCAGGATGCGATCCAGTGCGTTTCGATGCCGGGACGTACTGGGGCTGGTGTGAACTAGCCCCTAGACAAAAAGGTTTAGTGATTGTTAAATTTTTCCTGGCTTGCATAGTTCCAGATAAGAGATCTCATACCTGTGTGTGCTTACCTGTGTGATATAAAGGTGCCCATACACTGCACGATTCTCGTACGAGAATCGCGTGAAATCCCGCGATCGTACGAGAATCGTGCAGTGTATGGAAGGCGTGTGACTGTTTCTACTGTACATCCTCTGCAGAAGACGTGTATCCAAACCTCTGTTATTATCCTTAGTGGTGAGACAAGTTGTTTTACATGCTGGTTTGTGAGTGTGCCATGATGCCTTCCTACTGTTTTACTGTTCAAAGCCCATTTCGTGTGCACCTTACTGTATAACTGGTAACAAATTGTTGAGTGCGTTTGTCGTTTGTTTTGCGTTTCTACTGTACGGTCGCACGTCTTCCCTCGAACCAGCATGCTAGAAAACCCGCCGGGAATCGTACGATTCTCGGCGAGTTAGTGGCCTGCTGGTTCGACAACTGCCGAACGGGCCGGTGTGCGCACGCGTTTTTTTAAGTACTTTACAACCATCGCAAGACTAAGGTCTTGCGATGGTTGTAAAGTGTATGGCCACCTTAAGGGATAGTTCACACCAGAACTGTGTGCATCTACTCAGCTGCAATGCGATGCATTTTGAATCGATTGTACCACGATTTTACCGCAATTGATGCGCTTGATTTTTGTTTGCCCAAAACGGGATTTCAGGTGCGTTTGCATGCGTTTTGATGCATTCTATTGCGATCCGATAGAGCTGAAATAGGGCGAGCAGTATTTTTTTTTTTTTTTTTTCACTGCATCGGAATGGACTGCACTAGTGTCAACAGAGCACCAGAAATCCCATAGGAAAACATTGTGATGCATTTTGGATACAGCTGGCAAACCTGAACAGACTGCATCTGGTGTGAACTAGCCCTAAGGCTGAGGTTGCCTTCCAGCTGTTATGGAACTCCAAGTCCCATGAGGCATTGCAAGACTGACAGTTACAGGCGTGACTCCCAGAGGCATGTTGAGATTTGTAGTTAAAACACAGCTGGAGGACCGGAGTTGCCCACCCACAGTGTAAGGCTCTTCGTTTAAAGCCCAACAAAGTGGTACAGTTCATTTTCTTTAGAGAGAGGGAGGTTGCCACCCCTGTGTTGGTACATAACATTTCGTACCCTGTATGCGTTAAGTGAATTTAGAATATCCTGGATTACTATGGCCCATTGGAATAACTTTCTAAACTGTGTCAGGGTTGGCAGCTACCAAATGGTGGGGGCATCATCATGGAGTATTAAAAAATGGTATGCAGTAGAATTCCTGACAGCATAATATGTGCAGCAGAGAGCGGAAACGTTTTCCAGATCAAATAAAGTAGAGGCGGGTTCTGTTCTGTTCTAGAAGTCAAGGTGAATTGGAAGTGACTCAAGAGGAGAGCAATGCTGGCTGCCAGGACCTGCTTCAATTTCCCCACAAGGACACTGCAACTGAAGGATCATGCTAACCATGTGAGGTACGCAACCGATAAAGAATATGTTGTTATATTACTTTTCGTTGTAATAGCCCGTTATACAGTACTTTATCAAAGGTAGGTAATGACTTTACTTCTATTCATGCCTATTACACTGCTTCCTGTGAGTGATTCAATAAACATCACATTATATGTATCTGTTCTGAGTGCAGCAACCTTCCTGCAAATTAAACAAAGGGTTATGTGTTACCACATACAAAATAACTCTTCTCAGTGATAAACTACATGGGTGGTGTTATACATAGGGGTGGTGATATATATATCAAGCAGTTTAACCTCTTGTTGGCAGTTACTGCCTTGCAAAACTTTAAATACAATTTGTTGTCAATGAGCTGATTGCAAATAAGTGGTTAAATAGCTCCGCAGCATGAGACTGACATCCTGTGTGGCTGTTTAACGGCTCTGGTACTACTGAACAATTTAACCTTCTTGTTACTTGCAAAATATTTAAGTAAAATTCCACAATAAAATTCTATCCTATCTATCTATCCTATCTATCTATCCTATCTATCTATCCTATCTATCTATCCTATCTATCTATCCTATCTATCTATCCTATCTATCCTATCTATCTATCCTATCTATCTATCCTATCTATCTATCCTATCTATCTATCCTATCTATCTATCCTATCTATCTATCCTATCTATCTATCTATCCTATCTATCTATCCTATAACATTGCTAACAAGTGGGTTGGTTGCTCGGTAGCATAAGATCAAATTTGCTCCAATACTGGCTATACATGTCAGCTGTGAAAGGTCTCTAGCGGGGCTTTTCAGCCTCTGGCAGTTGGCGATATCTATTTATTCCAGGTATTTATATAGAGCTGACAATTTATGCAGCACTTTACATACTGCACATTTACATAAGTCCCTGCCCTCAAGGAGCTTAAAATCTATTTCAGTGGCATTGGCTGCCCCCCTCCTGCACTGAGGGCACTCCATTCTTTCAGGCTGCTCCCTCCAGTGGCCCCTGGAAGATTGTCCAATCACACTGCTGGATTGTACTATGGCATCCAAGAAGCAGCTGGGCGGATGTGGAAAACGTACAGTGGAAATCCAGGAGCCATTTATCCAGCCTGAACTAGAATAATAATTACATCCCAGTAGTAAATTATCATTTATTCTCTGTGGAACTGCCCATAGCAGCCATTCGGATTGTAGGTGTTGTCCTAGTGCAGATCAGGAGATGAGAGGAAATGTCTAGTTACCAAGGACAACACCCCACATCTCATCGTTCTCCCCAAATGTCTTTTATATCATGGCAGGATAAATGTGTAGAAAGAAACTTCCAGCAGGGTTTTGATTTATAAATATCGGTACATGTGTCCATATAAATAATGGGGGGGATTTATCAAAACTGGAGCAGACAGAATCTGGAGCAATCTGCTTCGATCTGTCATTTGCAAAGCTTAGCTGAACAAACTAAATATAGAAGCTGATTCGTTGTCATGGGGAACTGCTCCAGATTCTGTCTGCTCCAGTTTTCATTAAATCCCCCCACTTGTGATTTAGCAATACAACTATAAGCTCAAACAATTTAAAATACCTATACGACTATAGCGCACTATTGTTCACTGATAGCCACCGCCACTGTTTACCGTTAGTTGTCTTGTAAAAATGACACGGTCCATTTATAAAAGTTTTCACACAAAATTCACAATATTTTCCATTGAAATCTAATAAGAAAAATTGTGAAAACATTTATAAATAGACCCCTTATCGTAGAAACGGTTGCTCACCGCTGGTGTACAGCAATAAGGAATTCACAGTTTTAGTTGGTTGGCAGTGGACACAAACCAAATGATGGAAATCGCGGTGTGACACAGTCAAAAAATGTCTCTTAACCAGCATTGTGGTTGTAGTTTTTTTACCAAAACATTGATTTTTGATTGCTCAAAAATATGGATGCACCAATACCGTTTTTTCCGGGATCAAGTACCGATATTTTTTTTCACACCTAGAGAAAAATGAGCAGTTAACCCTTGCAATGCAGAGGTAGACCCACTTCAAGGGTTAATTCGTTTTTTTTTTACCTGGAATTGATCTTTAAAGTGTTTCGATCATTTGATGTCAACGTGAATATAACCTGGTATAAAAGAAGTTGGTTTAGTAAATGGTTGGGGTTGGTCCTGTATAAAGCTGTCCATACACCTTACAACCATCGCACAACCTTTGTTGTGCGATGGTTGTAAGGTAATTAATATTTCGTACCATCTGCCCATCTTGGACAGGCAGATCGTACTTGCGATCATCGCAAGCCCTCCCCGCTGAGGGGCGGGCTTCCCATGATTCCAATGCTGAGCGGGCAGTGTGCGCTTGGGCACACCGGCCCATTTCGGCATTTGTTTTCCGAGCACGCCACTAACCTGCCGAAAATAGTACGATTTTCGGCAGGTTTTCAAGTGTGCTCGGAAGACAAAAGACATGCGACCGTACAGTAGAAACGGTCGCATGCCTTCCATGCACCTGCCGATTATCGTACGATCGCGGGATCACCTGCGATTATCGTACGATAATCGGCAGGTGTATGGGCCCCTTAAGGGCCATGATAGATTGGTATATTTAAACATGCCATTTTCTTATTTAACCCCTTTGTGACGGACGACGTCTGCGTCCCGAAGAAGGGGCCGCCCCCCCCCGCCGGACACCCCCGCCGTGCTAGGGCCTCAGTCATGAAGGGGTTAAACAACATTCTGTCATGTTATCATGGGGGGAATCACTCTTCCCGGTCACCCAGTCTGTGTCAGTAACTACTACATACTGGGGGCAATTTATTAAAACTGGAGCAGACAGCATCTGGAGCAATTGCTAATGTTTCAGTCAGCTTCAATCTTTCATTTTCAAAGATTAACTGAAGAGAGATGCTGATTGGTTGCCCAGGACAACTACTCCAGATTTTGTCTGCTCTAGTTTTAATAAATTCCCCTCACTGTGTTTTGGGAAGTGTTTGCTCTGCACCCAGAGGATGGTGATTTTCCTAGTGAAAATTAATCTAAGCCACTGTTGGCTCATTCAACACCGCATGGGGAAAAGATTCTGCCACTTTGAATAAAGAAAATGACAGTGTTAGGTGATGCACATCTGGTGGACGTGCCCATTTGTGGCCAGATTCTGGTCTAAGATCTACAGACTCCTCTATTCCATCTTCAACATATCATTACCAAAGGCCCCCTGGCAAGCCCTCCTTCATGTTAACATTCCACAATTCACGTGGCCCCAACGGCAATTGGCCAATTACATATTTTTAGCGGCTAAACAAACAATAGCCCATTCCTGGAAGAAACAAGCCATTCCATATCTTGAATTCCAACATCGTATACAGGGGTTCTTTGTTAACGAACATCTCTCTAGCATACAAATCGGAGATTCCATGCCGTATGGAACCCATGGTCCTCCATTTTCCTATCCACCCTTGATCCGATAAAACGATCCCTCATTCGCTAACCGCCCATCGCACCGCGACCCCCGGATGGTGGTCACCACCCTTCAGTTCTCCACTTTTCCCTTTCTTCCCTCTTCTCTTTAACTCTTATCACCTCACTCTGCTCCTCTTGCTCCTTATCTCCCCTCACCCCTGTAGGCCAACCCTACTAGGACGTGCGCCTCACCCCAGCCTTCATGACCCAACATGGTGGCCCCAACAGCCAAAACTTCTCTTTTCAGAAGCACGCGTTACTCCCTTACACAGCTGTAACTATGCGATATTTGCATGTCTTGTATTCCTAAAAAAAAACAATAAAACATATTGAAGAAGAAAATGACAGTGTTTAAAAACCCCAATCTGACATCCCTGAGTGCTTCTTGAGGTCTATAGTAAAACCAAATGTATGAATCAAAGTCCACTTTACCTGGCAACGCTCAGTACTTGAATAGCCAAGAAACAGATAATGGATAACTAAGCAAATATGATTTCTTTTGACATAGTTACATAGTATTTGAGGTTGAATAAAGACATTAGTCCATCAAGCCCAACCTATTAGGATCTCATTCTAGGAATACCTGTACCCCTGTATATTACGGTCCCTTAAGAAATCGTCCAAAAGTTTCTTGAACAATTCCACATTCTTTGCTGAAATCACAAATCTGTGTCTGACATTGTAATTACATCAACCAGGCACAACTACAATGTTATTTTTTTATATAATGTTGTTCTAAAGTATATCTTTAAGCCAAAGAAATAAATAAAAGTCAATTTATGTTTTTTGTTTTTGTTTTGCTTGGAGTGATGAAGAATTAGCTTTTGTCATGTTTTTAAAGCAACACAAAACCCTCAGCTTTTTTCTCCTTATGCACACCTACACAATGAACATTCTCCAAAGCCACACTATGCTAATCCCTTTAGAAAGTCTGCTGTGCTCGCTCCCGTTGCTCCTTCCTTCTTTTCAGGCACACTACCTGTACCTTAGTAAGAGCCGTGCACGTTGATTCTGGCCGATACCGAGTATTTGGGCGAGTACTCATACTCCCCCAAATGCTCCGATACTTACCCCCGATACCTGAACTTCAGGTCAAAGGGAGATTTCTCTGACTGGCAGTGCTGTGAGGGAACATGGAGCTGGCTTCCTGGCGAATCAGGAAGCCAGGTGGCGGATAATGACTCAGCTTGGCTTCCTGAGTGGCCGGGAAGCTATCTCCATGCTGATTGGCCAGCTCAATGCTGATTGACCGGGAACCCATCTTCAATCAGCATTGAGCCGGCCAATCAGGAAGCTGGGTCGTGGGTAATGACCCGCCGCCTGGCTTCTTGATTGGTTGGGAAGCCTGCTCCATACTCCCAGAAGTATCGGTATTCGGTATCGGCGAGTACCGAAAGATATCTGTATCTGTGCATCCCTAGTTTTAAGCAATTCCTACCCTCTCCAGAAGAAGTTTTAGCTTTAGATATACTTTAAATGTACACTGTAATGCATATTTATTTCAGGTTGACTTGAATTGTGTAGTGTATGGCCAGCTTTACATTCTCTGGGAAATATCTGCCCGGCCTGTGACTAGTCCAGGGCTGTTACCTTTTTCAGATCAGAGAATGGTATGATTGTTATATGTAGTATCATTTACTAGTTGTGTATGTACGCTTACACTCTAGTCTGCCTATCTGCATGCTTGTCTACATATTACATGTCTAAATAAAATGGCATGGCATAAGATACATGATAATATTCTACTGTGATCTAATCTACAAAATGTTTCTATCTAGGCTTTGGCAGAGGCTATCTTCAGCTGCTACCTTAGCTGCAAGTCGCTCCTATGCAAGTCACACAGATGGGGTATGTCATATTTATCATTGTACCATGTGTAAAGGTTATTTACTCGTACATACAAGTTTTCTGTAGCATATGTAATAAAATGTAAAACTTATTTTATATTAAACAATATTTATGTTCTGGAGAAGAGTAATGTGTGCTTTTGTATCCCACATAAATGTTTTGTTGGTTTCAATGGATTTACTGATACTGTAATGTTAAAAATTTGTTCCCATTGTACAGGGCAATAAAGCTGTGCTTGTCACGGGATGTGACTCAGGATTTGGATTTTCATTGGCTAAGCATCTACATGATGAAGGATTCACAATATTTGCTGGTTGCCTCTTCAAGGTATGAGGTTAAATCATCCTTTACAAATTTTGTATATCATTTTAAAAAAAGGACACTCCCCCTTTCCTGTCCACAGTAGTGGAGAGTTCTTGCACACATTAGTTTTACACCCTCAAGGATTATGCACCATATTCCTCCACTTCTCTTTTTCATATTTTAACTCTCTGCTTCTCACCTCTCTAAAAGTCAAATGATCCTATTAAATATGAAAGTAGTATTAAATGCTCAAATATGTTTTCAATAATCCGGATCAAACAAATATACATTGCCCAGCAAATTATTTCTTTACATTTTTGCCCATGTACTTAGTCATCAAGTTTCCAAACAGCTGGCTCCAACTCTCTCAGCTCCACTTTCCTGATCTTCCTGTCCAGAACAAGATCACAAGGGACAGCACAGTCTACAGCAGCTGTCCTAGCAGGGCACAGGAAGGAGGGGAAAGACTTGCCTTGTGTTTGTGGAATGTAATGGATCCCATCGCACTCCTAACCGGATGAAGCCCAAACACAAATAAACCATGAAGTCACTCACACTCCGTTGCAGATAACAGTCAATCTCCTTTATTGACTGACTATCATGATGCCGCATAAACAAAGCGACGTTTCAGAACCCAGCGGTCCCTTCTTCAGGCAAATAAAAAGTGATCACAAATATAAAGTGCAAACATGTATACATATAATGGAGAGAAACTATCAACCAATTAGCCAACCACAAAATATCACCAAAGAGTGTTCCCTTCCACTTGGACGTCGTCATGATGTCATATTCTCGCCATCTCATACAAATGATCAGGTCCTGCACACCGCACTCTTGTCCCCACTCTGTTCAATGTTCAGCCATGGTCTAGTCCTACCAGCTAAACTGATTGACATTTAGCTTGCTCAGGCCCTGTGCAATATATTGTTTTGAACATTTTTTTTTTTCTTTGTCGTGTATCAGCACGGCTGATCTTCTGCAACATGTATGCAACCACTTCCTGTTTACACGCATGCAATCCAGAAACTGCTGCATGTCCTTTCTCTGCGACGGTTTTCTGATGGTGACAACAGTGCAACATGCCTGTGTAATGTGTGTTGGCGTGTCCATGTCCATTTTCAGGGCATGTGGCAGAGTGACAGCACAGGAAAAAATAAAGACTGGAGCAGAGCTTGATTCTATATATAAAAGCAAGCACCTGCACAAGGTGTTCCTTCATGACACGATCACCAGGTTTTATTTTTAGTACTGTGCATGGTTTACCGTACCACCCCGCTGCTTAATCCCACCTACTGCATTGTAGTGACTTTAAGAAGGGTGTCTCAGGCTACAGTGCATTCCTTAGCACAGGTCAAGTGTTGTCATGCTTTTAAAAGGAATTGCATCTCTTTAACATTTAGGAGGTCATAGGAGAACAGACTAGGCCGTGTTAAATTATATTTTGGCAGCCCAGTTTACACAATGGGGGGGGGAGGGGGGATTTATCAAAACTGGAGCAAACAAAATCTGGAGCAGCTGTGTATGGCAACCAAACAGCTTCTCTATTCCGTTTGTTCAGTTAAGCTTTGAAAATGAAAGGAGATTGGTTGCCATGGGCAACTGCTCCAGATTTTGTCTGCTCCAGTTTTCATAATTTCCCCTCAATGCATTTTGTACATGGTGCTACTTTTTATTGCTGCAAATTTTAAAATGCTGAAAAAAACTTTTGAAATGAAATTGGGATGTTATAGTGTATGTGAGATTTTAGTAATTTGTTTTAAATATACTTTGCCTTTTTATCTTCCTCTGATCCCCCAGCTCTATCTCTCTCCTGCTCTTCAAAACACAAGTCCTGCTATGTGACTCTTTGATTCCCTGTCCTGTGCATCTCCCACTCCCCACACTCCAAGCTAAAATGAGGGCCTAGTTACACTCAATGTGTGTTGCATTAAAGGAGAACTATGAGATGAGTGATTTCCACCCACCTCATAGTTCTAGCCGACCTGTGACAATGAGACTGTCACAGGTCGGCTCAGTAGATCGGGAGGTGAGCGAACACATACCAGGTTCGCTCACCTACTTAAGTCACATAGAAAAAATAATTTAGTGGGGTTTTTTTAGTAAGTTCCCCTCCCCCATGTACACGCACATACAGATGCTGTCAATCACGGTTAACACTAAACCGATGACAGGTAAAAGCTTTTAAAGCGTCTCCTATGGCGAGTTTTGGGTATGGTAAATTTTTTGCAATTTTAAGGCTTGCCATGTTTGGTGTCTATTTTCCCGACGTGACCCCGTCTTTTATATTTCACCAAAAAATTGGGTAATAATAAATGTTTCACGTAGGGGAAAAAAACATTTTTGTTCAAAAAATGTTCTTTATTTATTTATGTTTTCTTTTATATAGCAAAAAATAAAAAACCCCAGTGGTGATTAAATAGCACCAAAATAAAGCTCTGTGTCCCAAAACAACAATATAAAATTAATTTTGGTAGAGTTGCATGACTGAATAAATGTCGGAGTACCTCAGCGCTGAATACTGAATAAATGACCTGGACAGAAGGGGTTGTAATACCCCAGTCTTCAAGTGGCTACAATAAACAGTTGACATCCGCGGTGTTAAACCCCCTTCCCATCCAGGCAAAAAACGGCAGCGGCCGCCGCGGGGTGGGGCGCAAACGAGCACATATAGGCGATCGGCGGGCTATTGACCCGCTGATCGCCTATATGTGAAACACCCGGTACCGGGTGTTCGCATTGGACGGGTCTTTTCTGCCCGTGCGTGCCCGCTAGGGGGCGCACGCGAGCAGAAAAAAAATGCCGTCTGGCGACGGCAACCCGCCAATGCGACAGTGCCGTCCGTCCGTTTTTCTACTACGGGCGGACGGCAAGAGGATAATTGGCACCCCAATGCACTGCACATAGAGCGGGTGTGTGCATTGTAGTAATGCACAAATGTGAATAGGCCAGTACAGTCAAACTTGCACATGGTGATTGTGTTGCAGCATATGGAGAGTTACACTAACTACTTTACAACTACAGGACAAGGGAGATGCCGGCGTGAAGGAACTGGACAATATGAAGAGCCATAGAATGAAGACTGTTCAGTTGAATGTGGTAAAACAGGAAGAGGTAGACAGAACTTTGGAAATTATTAAAGATAATTTGAAAGACCCAGACAAAGGTAGTATATATGGGGCTTCCTGTTTCTGTTTTTGAATAATAGCACAATTTTTTTATTTTTATGGTCTGAACTAGTGATGTTTAGATACCAAGTACAAGTACAGATACTTTTCCAGCTCCAGGACTAGAGAAACATGTAAAAGTTAGGAGGCAGCTGTAAGGAGCACACGGAGCTCCTGGGATTTGTACATCTATGTTATAATGTATGATTTAGTTAATATTAGGAATGCACCGATACCATTTTTACGAGTACTGATACTTGTCTAAGTACTCACAGATACAAGTACTGATACATCTTTGTTTATTGTCATGCGACAGTTTTTCTAAAACAATACAGACTAATGATTTCAGGACAGTGGTGGAGCGCCAGAGCCAGGTCCCAGCTGCAACCACTGCAGTCCTCATGAAATTCAGATCATCTGAGCTGGTATCTGAACATCCCTAGTCGGAACCATGCTAAATCTTTTACAGCTAGCAGTGTGTCTGCACTTAAAGCCTTTTTCATCGTATACATGAAATCCTTTGTAGATATTGTATAGTTGGATCCGATTGTAGACTCGGCCATGTAGCAGAATATAATTAAGAGCTTCAATTTGCATTCAAGTTTTAATCTGCTGATATTTTGCCTTTTCTGGTTCCTCATTTCCTTCCTCATTAACACGTGTATGCAATTTTTAAATAAAATCTTTCAATATATTACATACCTTTTTTTTTTAGGCTCAGTGACGATACTGTGTCTGTTCTTCTCTGTGCAATACAGGCAGATCATGGCAGGTAGGAAAGGCCATCTGGTTGCTGTACATAGCTTCCTGAAAACATCACAGCACCCTGCCTCAGTACTCCACTCAAGAGCTCTCAATCCTGATGTAAGCAGTGGGCTGACTTTTAGGAGAAGTTATGCAAATATCAAAATGCCTTGATGGGTGGATGTCACTCTGGAGCAGGAATGGACTGTCGCACTCCAGCTGTTGTAAAACTACAAGTCCCACAAGGCATTGCAAGACTCTTGATAGACATGACCCCTAGAGGCAGAGGCATGATAGAATTTGTAGTTTCACAGCAACTGGATTGCCAATGTTGCCTACCCCTGGTTTGGAGGATTTGGCATTCCTAAACAACTTTAATTTTCATGCAGACTACCCTAACACTCACATGTTATGCTGAGCCCCCACGATTAAAAGAATTGAAATCCAATGAAAGGGCCAGGTACAGTAAGGCTGGGGAGGAAAGGGCTAGATGATGCTAGACATCTTTTAGCCAGGAAAGGAGGCAGACACTATCTGACTTGCTGTGGCTTCTAATATTCAGTGTATGTAGAGCCTGTACAACTGTGCAAGACTGAAGGTAATGCCGGGGTTTGGCTTTAAACCCTTATTTTATATGCAGTCAGCACTTTAATGATGTTTTTGGCTTATGTCATGGTTTTCTGGCCTCAAGCACAATGGCTGTGACTAATATTGTTTCTCTCTTTCATAGGTTTATGGGGTGTTGTTAACAATGCTGGAATATCGACATTTGGAGAAGTGGAGTTCACCAGTATGGAAACTTATAAAGAAGTAGCTGAAGTAAACCTTTGGGGTACAGTTAGGGTTACCAAGGCCTGTCTCCCTCTCATTCGCAGGGCTAAAGGTAAGAGACTATAAGACGGGTGGGCAACTCCGGCCCGCCAACTGTTGTGGAACTACAAATCCCATGAGGCATTTCAACACTGACAGTTACAGGGGTGACTCCCAAAAGCAGAGGCATGTTGGGATTTGTAGTGAAAGCACAGCTGGAAGGCTGTAATTAAAGTGTATTTCCACTTTTGCAGGTGAATTTGATATTTCATACTTTCCTGGTTTGTTCCTTACAACGGATGGTATAGACCGCTTCTATTGTTCAGAATAACTAGCAATACGCAACAGGGGACAGATCAAGGGGCAGTTTTTTGGGGTTTTCCCATAAAGTTACATTAACATACAGTGTGCCACTGAAACCTTGAAATATTTAACCCTTTTATAAAGACAGTGCTTTGTAATGAGGTCTGCCAGTTCAGTACACACAGGGTTAATTTTAATAAACCTATATCCCCAGCCCCCTCCTAAACATTATATAGAAGGGGGAATCTAAGAAAGACTTTTAATTAAAGGAGGCAGCAGGCTGGCCATTGTATACGTTCTGTACAACATGCTCTTCCAAAGAACTGGACTCTTTGCTCGCCAATCAGATTCAAACTATAGGGCAGTTTTGGTGGCTTAGGGGAGGTGAATTCAGTTTTTGGTAAGAACACATTAATGCATCAGACTTGCTATGCCTAAGGCAACAGAGCATTTTTTAGGAGAAAGATGTGTTTCCAAGAATGAGGCAGCACTGGGCTGGGGTATGCTTTACCAACATTCCAGTGTTAAAGAAGAACTCCAGGAAAACTTTCTTAAAGGAGAATTATGAGGCGAGTTATTTTCACTCAGCCTCATAATCTGAGCCGACCTGTGACAATGAAACTGTCACAGGTCGGCTCAGTAGATCGGGAAGTGAGCGAACACATGCCGGCGCTCGCTCACTTCTCGATCCTGTCACTGCAGAGAGCCGTGACAGGGGAGGGGCTGGATTCCCCCCTCCCCGCTCCGATCCTCCATCGCTGACTGGCGGAACGGACAGGGCAGGGGGCGGGTACAGCTGGCTCTGCCTCTAGATAGGCAGAGCCAGCTGTCACTCACGCAGCTGGGTGGATCCAGACATAATTGTCTGTAGCTCGCTGTGTACTGAGCTTTGGGTGACGGGAGGACGCTTGTTTGTGTCCTCCCGTTACACTTAGGAGAACTATGGGGAAAAGCCCTAACCTCATAGTTATCCTTTTAACACTTGCAGTGGGGCTTCCCCTGCACTGCAAGGGTTAAGTGCTTGTTTGTGTCTAAGTGCTAAAATAACAAAGTTCTCGCCTGAAGCTCTGAGCTGGCCACCAGTCATGGTGCTCCCTCCAGCCTGTCTCCTCCACTGCAATGGTTAATATTTTTTTCCCCTCGAGTTCTTATTTAATGCAATTCTGTGTTTCAAAGGAAGCCGCTTGCTCTTTTGCATCACACCTCCTCTACCCTCTTCTGCTGACCCAGTTCTCTGAGAGGCCCATGCAAATATTAGCTCTGTGAAAGGGAGTATTTGCAGAAGGTTAGTCAGAAACCTGATGTCATAGTGCTCAGACCTGGTGATTGGCCATTTAGGCAGAAAGTACCACATTGTGGGAGGTGGGAGAATGTACATATGTGTCCAATACCTGGAAATAGATTTCTCCTTTGGTGGTTCTGGACTATATGTATAATCTGTCAAATTAACTTGCAGAGACAGACGGCTCCCTCCCAAGAATCTTCAGCTAGGTTTATTGGGTGATCCGATCATGGCTTGAGATGGATTTGTAAAGCATCTTTTTATGCATTCTACATAAAAGTAGATGCTGTGCACTGACATTCTTACATTTTGAATTGTTATCATTGCTGACTATTGCATGGATAAGACAGAGTTATAAATATCTTTATAACTTCTGTATAGATATAGTGACCAAGTCTAATTTGTTTGCTTATGATAACTGAACTATGGTCATACATGTATTATAACTTGCTTTCATGTCTCTCTTTAGGCCGCGTGGTGAATATTAGCAGCATGTTGGGGCGCATGGCAAATCCAGCTCGTTCCCCATACTGTATCACCAAGTTTGGGGTAGAAGCGTTTTCTGATTGCCTGCGCTATGAGATGCACACAATGGGAGTGAAGGTCAGTGTGGTTGAACCTGGGAATTTCATTGCAGCCACAAGCCTCTACAGTCCAGAAAAAATCAAAGCAATTGCTGAAAAAATGTGGGCCGAATTACCTGAAACTGTGAAGAAAGACTACGGGAGAAAATACTTTGATGAGAAAATCGCCAGAATGCACACGTATTGTAACAGCGGCTCAACGGATACGTCACCTGTCATTAAATCTGTCACCCATGCTTTAACTGCGACCACCCCGTACACTCGCTACCACCCTATGGATTACTACTGGTGGCTTAGAATGCAGGTCATGACTCACCTGCCTGGTGCTATATCTGATAAGATTTATATTCATTAGGTATGATGATTAGATTTAGGTCATTTCTAATCAAAGAACTTTGATTTCATCTGCAGCATTTGCTACCTCGCTTCACAATGCCAACAGCCAGAATGTGCTGCCTCTTTGTCCTGTGCCTTTTGGTTATGGAAATACTTCTTCTTCTAATTGTCTTTGTATGTAGCTTATAACTTGAAGACAAGACCGGGACTTTTCCTGTTCCTTAGACATTCAATTCTTACCATATTTACTCTTTCATTATAAGGGCTATTCTGATCAATGAATTTAGATGACAGACTATGCACAGCTTCAGCTTACTTCTTCTCACTAAACAACTTATATGACGTAAAAGAAATAGAAAACTCTACAGTTAAATCAAATGCTGACGTATGGTGCTGAATTAAACTGACCATATACTGTTAGAATTTTGGCTGAAATTCTAACAGTGGGTGGCCCTGCTGGCTAGACAAAAGTTGGTTTCCCAAAACAACTTTTGTCGGCTGGACAGTGAAACGGACAGGGCAGGGGGCGGGTACAGCTGGCTCTGCCTCTAGATAGGCAGAGCCAGCTGTCACTCACGCAGCTGGGTGGATCCAGACATAATTGTCTGTAGCTCGCTGTGTACTGAGCTTTGGGTGACGGGAGGACGCTTGTTTGTGTCCTCCCGTTACACTTAGGAGAACTATGGGGAAAAGCCCTAACCTCATAGTTATCCTTTTAACACTTGCAGTGGGGCTTCCCCTGCACTGCAAGGGTTAAGTGCTTGTTTGTGTCTAAGTGCTAAAATAACAAAGTTCTCGCCTGAAGCTCTGAGCTATAGCTCGCTGTGTACTGAGCTTTGGGTGACGGGAGGACGCTTGTTTGTGTCCTCCCGTTACACTTAGGAGAACTATGGGGAAAAGCCCTAACCTCATAGTTATCCTTTTAACACTTGCAGTGGGGCTTCCCCTGCACTGCAAGGGTTAAGTGCTTGTTTGTGTCTAAGTGCTAAAATAACAAAGTTCTCGCCTGAAGCTCTGAGCTGGCCACCAGTCATGGTGCTCCCTCCAGCCTGTCTCCTCCACTGCAATGGTTAATATTTTTTTCCCCTCGAGTTCTTATTTAATGCAATTCTGTGTTTCAAAGGAAGCCGCTTGCTCTTTTGCATCACACCTCCTCTACCCTCTTCTGCTGACCCAGTTCTCTGAGAGGCCCATGCAAATATTAGCTCTGTGAAAGGGAGTATTTGCAGAAGGTTAGTCAGAAACCTGATGTCATAGTGCTCAGACCTGGTGATTGGCCATTTAGGCAGAAAGTACCACATTGTGGGAGGTGGGAGAATGTACATATGTGTCCAATACCTGGAAATAGATTTCTCCTTTGGTGGTTCTGGACTATATGTATAATCTGTCAAATTAACTTGCAGAGACAGACGGCTCCCTCCCAAGAATCTTCAGCTAGGTTTATTGGGTGATCCGATCATGGCTTGAGATGGATTTGTAAAGCATCTTTTTATGCATTCTACATAAAAGTAGATGCTGTGCACTGACATTCTTACATTTTGAATTGTTATCATTGCTGACTATTGCATGGATAAGACAGAGTTATAAATATCTTTATAACTTCTGTATAGATATAGTGACCAAGTCTAATTTGTTTGCTTATGATAACTGAACTATGGTCATACATGTATTATAACTTGCTTTCATGTCTCTCTTTAGGCCGCGTGGTGAATATTAGCAGCATGTTGGGGCGCATGGCAAATCCAGCTCGTTCCCCATACTGTATCACCAAGTTTGGGGTAGAAGCGTTTTCTGATTGCCTGCGCTATGAGATGCACACAATGGGAGTGAAGGTCAGTGTGGTTGAACCTGGGAATTTCATTGCAGCCACAAGCCTCTACAGTCCAGAAAAAATCAAAGCAATTGCTGAAAAAATGTGGGCCGAATTACCTGAAACTGTGAAGAAAGACTACGGGAGAAAATACTTTGATGAGAAAATCGCCAGAATGCACACGTATTGTAACAGCGGCTCAACGGATACGTCACCTGTCATTAAATCTGTCACCCATGCTTTAACTGCGACCACCCCGTACACTCGCTACCACCCTATGGATTACTACTGGTGGCTTAGAATGCAGGTCATGACTCACCTGCCTGGTGCTATATCTGATAAGATTTATATTCATTAGGTATGATGATTAGATTTAGGTCATTTCTAATCAAAGAACTTTGATTTCATCTGCAGCATTTGCTACCTCGCTTCACAATGCCAACAGCCAGAATGTGCTGCCTCTTTGTCCTGTGCCTTTTGGTTATGGAAATACTTCTTCTTCTAATTGTCTTTGTATGTAGCTTATAACTTGAAGACAAGACCGGGACTTTTCCTGTTCCTTAGACATTCAATTCTTACCATATTTACTCTTTCATTATAAGGGCTATTCTGATCAATGAATTTAGATGACAGACTATGCACAGCTTCAGCTTACTTCTTCTCACTAAACAACTTATATGACGTAAAAGAAATAGAAAACTCTACAGTTAAATCAAATGCTGACGTATGGTGCTGAATTAAACTGACCATATACTGTTAGAATTTTGGCTGAAATTCTAACAGTGGGTGGCCCTGCTGGCTAGACAAAAGTTGGTTTCCCAAAACAACTTTTGTCGGCTGGACAGTGACTGCAGCCAATCCGCTTCAGTCACTGTTCTTGTATTCTGACTGGCTGACACCAGCTGTCCGAATACAATAGACCACGGGGGAAGATTCATCCATCTACGCTGTTTGGTATGGAAGGAGGAATCTGCTGGATTTCTTTAGCCTGCAGGCTGAACACAAAAAAGCTAGTGTCAGGCCAGGTTAAGTCACCTGCTACCTGAACACCTACCTCATTCTTGGATGTGTGACTGTAGAATATTGATGAAATACAGTACATTCTGAATCGTGCAGTCCTTTCTGCTATATCCCTCAGGGAACACGGTCATTTGTATTTCAAACTTTATATTAAAAGTACTAAAGCTGGCCTTACACTGTTGGCAATTCTGCCAATTCCTGTGAATTGGACAAAATTCTAACATTCCCGGGACCACCCAGCTTGACAGTCTTCGACTGAAAAATCGAAGGAGCCGGGAGGAAAATTGTTGGCCAAACAGTGACTGTAGCCAATCGGCTACAGTCGGTGTTCATTTCATCTGATGGCACAGGTGTCAGCTGTCCTAATACAATTCCATCTACGAAAATCAAGCTTTACATGTGGAAGATATAGCTTAAAGTGACACTGAACTTAAGAGTTAAAGCTTAAAAATACATTCAAGTACCCTAACTATTAACAAAAATGTATCTTATTTGTGTATCACTCAGCTGTACATCCTCAAATCATCTCTGAATTCATACTGACTGTGTCCTTCCTTCTGGAGGGTGGCTACTTTTGTTCCCCATGGTCCCTGTGTGTGTTGTAAAGTAGCCACCGCTCCAAACTCGCTCCTGTGATGGACTACGATCTCATGTTTAGTAAACTAATTTGTAGTCAATCACAGGAGTGATCTTGGAGCTGTGACTACTCTACAACACACACACACAGGGACTATGGGGAACACATGTAGCCACCCTCCAGAAGGAAGGACAGTGTCCACATGAATTCAGAGATGATTGGAGGATCTACAGCCGAGTGACACATAAATAAAATGCATTTATGTTAATAGTTAAGGTACTTGAATACATTAAGGATTAACTCCTGAGTTGAGTGTCACTTAATCTTCCCAGCTGCTCTGTAAACTCAATACCTGCAAACCCTACCATATTGTTTCATGCATTTTATATCATTGTATAAATGTTTGCATCAGCAATATATTGTAACTTTTCTGTAGCATTGCTGAATGTAGCAATAAAGAAATTCTTTGAGCAGATATGTTAAGCATTTTATAACTATATTGTATACTAGCAAATATGTGTCTGTTGCTTTGAACAGGTATTTCTGATTTGGTGCACGGATGAAATAATCCTTAGACATTCCTGAAGGGAAGCAATCATAATATGACAAGGACAGTGATCCCCAGAAAGCATGCGTTGGCTGATGCTAATAACGTGCTATTTAAATGGTTGGATTGGGTTACTGCTGTTTTAACATCTCTGAGATTATCAGTATGGAGAAAAACACCTGAAACCGTATTAAACCAAAACTGATCTGGAGATAACTGGAGCGTTCACTGTTGCTTGCTATAGAAGTTATTCAAGTTAAAGTAGAACTCCAGGACAAAAATAAGTGAACCCTTGCAGTACTCCTGCACTGCAGGTTTTACATGCTCATTTTGTGTCAAGGTTCAAAAAATAACAAAGTTATACTCTCGCGGAGTTCCGAGCTGGTCGGCTGTCAGTGCCCCCTCCAGCCTCTCTCCTTTGCTGCAGCAATGGAATCTTGCTCGGCGTCCTCACGGCTATACACTCTGTATAGACATGATGATTTATGGGACGTTAGACCACTGCAGAGGAGGGGAGACATGCTGGAAGGAGTGGTCTAAGAAGAAGCCAGTTCTGAGCTTTGGGTGAGTATAACTTTTTTTTTTTTTTTGATCTAGACAAAAACGAGCACTTACCCCTTGCAGTGTGGGGCTAGCCCAACTGCAAAGGTTATAAAAAAATAATAATCCTGGAGTTCTTCTTTAAGGGAAAGTTTGCAGGGCATCACCAAATTCCAGGTGGAGCACAGGTTATTCAAAAATAAACATGCTCTTAATTCTTTACACTAGCATCACCTATGATTTGTCATAGACCATCAACTGCAGACTAAAAATTGCGCGCCCCTTCTACCTAGCCGTCAATACACAAAGCTGGGCCCCCCTTTCCCTCAGGTACTTAAGCTGGCAATACACCAGTAGAATTTTGTTAGAAAAAATGTGTTCTCAGAGGGCTAGTTCACACCAATTGCAGTGCGTTCCAGAGCAGTAGTGGCTGGAACGCGCAGTAATCGCACACTAACCCCCCCTCCCCCCATCATTCTGGGGTGGGAGGGGGCGTGGTGGTGCATTGAAGTCTGGTGCGGCAGCCACACCCCCTGCCCGCAGTGCAACCAGACGTGTGGCAAAACACCGCACCACAATTGGGGAGAAATGGCCCTCAATGTTTGAATTTCTAATAGTTAATGGGATTAAACTGATCAATTTCAACCATAGTGGCAAAAAAAAGAAAGAAAGAACAGGATAATTTTTTCAAATCTTTTTTTCTCAAACCAACAAATTCTAACCGTAAATGTGGCACTCCAATTATTCCTAAATTGAATGTTAAAATAAAACTGGGTTTCAAAAGACATTCTGCAAGCCTGATGGCATTATCAAATGTTCTAACCAGATTTCTCCAATGAAAGTTTATTCAGACATCTTCCAGTGTGTGATCTTTACGCATTTTTTTTGCATAGAAGCTTGTAAAGCATTGTACCCATAATCCTTGCCTCATGGATGGGTGCAATGCACAGGCTGTTAAAGATTTTACCACTAGCCCCAGATGCATACAGAAGTATAGACCTTCTGTTATGGGGCTGAAGGATGTATGGCCAGACTACAATGGCAGTGACGTCTCTGTCTTGCTGCTGGCACTGTACTGAGTCCCTCTGTTGTGATGGCAGATGTTACTTGTAGTACTATTGGTAAACTGGTTGATGTGGCCCTGTACAATGGTGATACATTTGAAAAACAAGATTTTTCCAGTATGATACACCTTGTGAATCCGGTAACAGGGTAGGTTTGGTGTATGCTGTATGTGACCTATCTTCATGTTATACTCTAAATATGGGTGTAACATGAAACGTGGTTCTAAAGCTGGAATGCGCGTTATAAAAGAACTATGGCCCAACCTTTTTGGCCATAGTTCTCTTTAGGGTCACAGGAAGACATTTACTAATGTGCTTCTGTGACCCAAAACTCGGTATATAGCGGGCTATTGCCTGCTATATGCTGACAGCACTGAACCATGTCGCTAAAGGCAGAGGCAGCTGTGCCCGCCCTCTCCTCCATCTGACTCTCCAGTCAGCGCTGGAGGAGTGGAGAGTGGAAACCCTGCGGGAAGCAGTGGTTGACAGTCACCGCTCTCTGCAGGTAGAAGATCTTGAACTGAGCGATCGGCGGTGTGATCGCTCAGTTCTCGATTAACAGAGCCGACGTGTGACAGCGTCAGTGTCACAGGTTGGCTCTAATTATGGGGATGAGTATATTTCACTCTCCCCATGATTCTCCTTTTCAGTAATATACGTAATCCAGCCATGGGTGCCAGCAGGCCTGGGATCCCATCACTTCCCCACACCTCTCGCATACGAAAGTAGTGTAGCTGTACACCGCTGATCCCTTGTATACAAAAACTTACAGGGTTATTCACAAAAGGGTAAGGAGTTTGGAGAAGTGAACAATCTAGGCCAAAATAGCTGATTTGGAAAAATTCTCCAATTCAGATCACTTTCCAGTTCAGCTATGTTGTCCTAGATTGTTCACTTCTTGTGCCTTCCCCAAACTCTTCACCCCTTTGTGAATAACCCTATTAATTCTGTAAGCAGTGACTGAGATACTCCACCCATATTCTCCCATTGATATATTTCGCAATTTTGTTTGTTTTCTTAATTGTAGAGCCTGAGCAGCAGGCAAAAGATGTCAAAGGGAGGATGGGGGTGGAGTGTCTCAATCATGCTGACAGAATTAAAATTATATTAAATCGGCTGGTCCACTGAGCGCTGATCCTGTTATCCTGTTTTAGGGTGGCTCCTTTCCCTTACAGGGTCCTATGGAGCCACCCTTGTGTGTGCTAGTAAGCTGAGTGTGCCTTCCCCAACACACAAAAAGTAAAAAGGTTTGCTGGCACACTCACAAGCTAGCATGTAAAGAAAACTTGTCTCACCACTAAGGTTAAAAACAGAGGTTTGGATACACGTCTTCTTCAGAAAATGTGAAAGCCACACAGCCGCATCAAGGCACCTCTGATAGTGCGGTCCTAACTCTAAACTATGAGAGTCTCCATCTTGGAGCACATGGGTCAGAAGATAAAATTGGGTGCAGGTCTGTCAGGAGAAAGCCCAACCCCCCCTTAAAGGTACAGGAACGCACAAGGGATCCCGCACATCCCAATGGCAGGTGAGAACCCCCATGCATCACTGCACCAAATCAGTCAAGCAAAACAAATGACAAACGCACTCATCAATTCGTCACCAGCTTTACAGCAAGGTGCACACGGAATGGGCTTTCCTGGCTGTCTAGGGCTTTATTACCAAGTC